TACATACTGATTTTGTTCTTTCTTTTAAAGAAAGGGGGAAATGTTCACATGCTTGCCAATCTCACCTCCAATCTGCCCTCCATGTTTCTGTAAGTATTTTTCAGGGGTAGCATTATCAGTGCTTCTGAAGACTGCAGTACATTTCTTATTGACACTGTATTCCCACTTTTTCATACTTTGGTCTCCTAAAAATTTTATTCTAGTTAAGGACAGGTTGGAGACTAAAAAAAATTTATTCTAGTTAAGGACAGGTTGGAGACTAAGCACAGTTAGAACGTTGTGCCTCTCCCGTGTGCAAGGGCAACTGTTGGATCAGTCTGCCCCAATCTGTGAGTGGTAACATATGATGCCATTAAATATGCCCCTCAACTCAGACAAAAATAAGGTGCATCCAAGGGGGTTTGTACTTTGCCACAGCAGTGTATGAGCCACTGTCCTATGGCTTGTCTTAGAACACTCTAGTAAAGTATGGAGGAAGAAACCATATAGCTTGGGAGTGGGTGCTGTGGTGGTTCCACCCATGATGGAGGTGGTATGGGAATTCACGGAGCACAGCCAGCTTCTAAACTGCCATCATCACCAAAGAGCATGCCAGACATCTCTGGATTGTGTCCACTGAATGTTTCTTTCTTTGAACATTTTCAGCTGAAAGTGGGAACATTTACTGACGCAGTCAAATGTCTGTTTCTATGAGAGGGAAAATCAGTACCCATTGCTCCTCTGCTTCAGAAAAAACAAACATTATTTGTGCTTTCCCCCTTCAGGTTAAGAGAAATCTCAACCAATCGTTCAGATGTATCTTGCTGGATAGCTTGGCTATGGTTTAAGAACAAAACTGAGTAATCTCTGCTCAATTCAGAAAACTCATTTCCCAGGAAAATCAGTTTCACTAGCAGACCATTTTCCTATGCATGAGGATTTTTGCCAGACATTTCTGGGGGGAAAGTTCAATGTATTTTGAAGAAATATACAAGGTTTTAAATATTAGTAAAGGTAATGCAGCTGTATAGATTACATGAGAACTTTGCTTGGTTGAAACATGGAATATCCAAGTCTGCCTGATACTATTGTGCAGACTTGAATATACTAGGTGTTGCCAGGAGGAACTGGGTTTTATGTTTATAAACTCCTGCTGTTTATTGTTTTAATGTTGACTATACTGGCTTTATTATTTTGTTGTTGTAATTTGTTCTTGTTTTATTGCTGTTCACTTCACACTGATGAAGAGGTATGCATCAAATGAAGTTTTTTTATGAAGCTACATAAAACAAGTAATAGGGCGGGACCCTACTCTTTTGTTCTTTTGGCACTTATGTGTTCCTCTGGTTCAAGGGACTATTCTACCAATGTAAGGTGCTTGTGTCCAGTGAAATGACACTCTTGCATCAACAGAGTTAACACCCCAATTGCATCAACAGAGTTAACACCCCAATTGGAATGACATAGTAAGATCCAACCCATAATAAACTACGTGAGAGAGTTTTTAAGAAGGCAATTTTTGGGAAACAGCATGAGTACAAAAGTTAGCTAGTTCAAAAAAGGCTTTGGATGGAAAGAGATTCATAACTACATGCTGCCACAAATGCAATGTAACTGAGTGTGCATCAATCTGATGGGGCATACTTTCTAATTACAAAATAACAGATTAAACATTTATACATCTATAAAATTAAAAGCTGAAAAGTCATGTTAAAAGAAATCACACAAAGGTAGCAAGAACTTACATCATAAGAACCTTAGGATGCATTCAGCAGGCACTGGCCCTACGAAACTGTCATTCACTGCAATGGGGCTTGGGTGGGAATGGAAAATGAATGAACTTTCCTAGGTGCAATGCATCTAAATACCATTTGTTGAGACAATAAGTGTATAACTTCCACACTAGTCATCATATTCCCAGTATGCATTAAACACAAAGATCAAAGCCCGAGTGTCAAAAATGGTAGAGTTCTGTTTCAAACGTTATGGAAGTATTACATTGACACCTTTCACAGGGAGGATGTCATTTTCAGAACTTTGTTGGGAGATAGGAGGATAAACAGACTCTGTTAACTCTCCTGTTAATGTTTGTCACCGTGGGGACCCTGGATTGGGTAGAAAGGCTACATAAAATGTTTTAAATAAATAAATAAGTACGTGGAGCTGAGAAACCGCATGCAAAGAGATTCTGCCTTACGATTTTATCCACTATGTTTGCTGGAACTACTGCTTTGAATTTTAGAAATTACTAAACTCCTGAAAGTTTACGTGGATGTTCTCTACAGCGAGAGCTTTAACAAATGGAACAAAACATTAAAGGACGAAACTGAAAGTCAAAATATTAGATCAGTGGTTTGTGACTGTTAAATATGGGCCATTTTTGTTGCTCTCAGTTCACTAGAACGTTCAAAACATTCCGCCATTTCAAAGTATAGCAAACTTAATACCACTGATTCTCCGGGGAAATATACCTCTCTCCCTTCCTCTTGCTCTTCCCCTACTGCACACACACAGACCTTGCGCCTGCCCTTTCCTGCTTGAAAGACAGAGATCAAGCTCTTCCCCACTCATATCCTCCTTTAAAAGCAGACAAAAACGATGGTTAGGAAGGAGGCTAGACTTCTTTGCTGCCCTGCATCCTACAGTTACCATCAGAAATGATTAGTTAAGGGGCAAAGTAGAAGACCATTTCTGTTTATCTCTCTTTCCAGATCTTTTCTGGGAGCAGAGGTAAAGCAAAAAGCTGTTTTTCCTCCCTATTTTTTTCCCCCTATTCTAGAACCACAGTTAGTAGTTGATGAATGGGCCTTTTTATGAGTTCAGAACTGTACCCAGTTAGGTCTTCTGGAACCCTCTGGGGCTAGAGGAGAGAGAATGTAGTTTGCCACTGAGGGCTTAACTGTACATGACAATATCCTCACATCCTCCCTGAAGTCCATGAGGACTTCAGACCAGACATGTGATGTCCTGGAACTCAATTTCCTGGCATGCAGGGGCCCAATTCAGATGGGTAGAGTGGTTAAGCTTTCCTTCTTGCACCATTTCCCCAACATGAAACAGCTCCACAGAGCCACTATTTGCCCTTTCGGGGAAACTCACATGTAACCATCGGTACCTATAAGTTTTCCCAGTGGAGCAAACAGCATCTCCTCAGGGCCATTTCACATTGGGAAAAGAGCACAGCGGGATAGCTGAAGCCCCCTCTCCCTGGGTTCTGGAGGCCAATCCTAACTGGGCCTCTGTTCTAGGCACAGAACCCCAAAGGCATGTGCAAACTGGCCATCAGGATCTCTAGCCCTGCAGTATCTCTAACCCTACAGACATTGACTATCATTATCTCCAGCCACACAGTCTGAGAGAGCACTTTCTGAAGCTAGTAGATGCCATAGAGCATCAGCTGCTGTCTGTGACCTTTTGCTTTTTTCATCCCTCCGACCCCCCCGACCCTCGGGAGACTAGTCCCTGCATACTTGCGTTACACTTCTCTTGTCACTCAGTTCAGCAATGACAGCTAAAAAACAAATAATTACAGAAGACAAGACTGAAGATGGGCTGCAATCAGGAGAAAGAATTAAGAAGACTTTAACCTTTTAATGCTCTTCAGCCACAAAGCTGCTGTTCCTTCCTAGCTTTATTATGAGCAGCGTTCAGTAGACTGCAAGCACTTGAGCTCAAGCACCTCATTATTATTATTATTATTATTTAAAGGGCACTATAATCCAAATAAACAATTTTCACCAAACCAGATTTCTTTTAGTCCAGCAGACAATAATATTCTCTGATATCACAGCCTGCATGACCCATGCAATGCTTTCCCCTAACTAGATGTTCCAATGTCACTGATACTCATGTGTAAATGCAGATTGTCTCTTTCACTCTGGCAAATGCAGCAGCAGCAGCAGCCACGACTGAATCAAAATGATGCTGAATGTGAAAATGTTCAAAATAATCAAACAGATAATCTGATTTAAGTTACAAAGGACAGCTACTGCTGGGATGTAAATTACTCAAAACACAAACAAGCTCCAACTATCAATACTGAAATCTATATTTATGGAGATTATGCGAAAAGCCTCTTAGAAGTGTTTTTTAAATCCCTAATGGAACAATATAATCAAATTTTTAAAGCAATAAATTGCCAGCATTGGACTCCCTTCTCTGATCAATACCAAATTTAGCTGACACATCAGCAGTCAACTAGATTTCTGTTTTCCAACATGCACCAAAAAAAAGATACTAGGAAATCTAAACTGGTTATTGTTATAAAATTAAACCATGATTTAATCACTTTCAACATTTGTTGCCTAGTTTAAGAACCTGGCAATCGGTTTTACACACTGGTAAAGTGACTGACCATTTTGTAAGTCATGTAAAGTAGAATTACAGTTCAGCATCCTTGGATTGATTTGTTTTGTGCACGATCTCCTTAAGGGGTTTTTCTTATCAAAAGCAAGTAATGGAGTGATTACTGCATACCCGCCTCTTATCAAGCAGATCTACCTGATGTAGCATGATAAGCAAGGAAATGTTTAAACAAAAACTGGGGGAGGGGGAGGCAAGCAAATGAGCACACAAGCTGAAAATGGCTTAAACTGTACAAAGAATATGGATCAAAAATAAATTAAATAATTAAAATAATAAGGTGTCTGTCGACACATTTTCCATACACCCTCTGAAGGAAGACCTGTTGTCTAGCAAGTGCCTTCTATAAACACACTTTCTGCTAATGTTCATATGGCATATTTGTATTACAGTCTGACTCTGCTTTTTTTCCTCTGCGTTGGTTAGGTTTACAGAGGTAGGGTGTAAACAGGAAACGTGAAAAAACTGAATCTCTCCCCCCCAAAAAAACTTCTTGATTTGGACTACACAGAAAGAGTGGAGCAGCCCCACTGTGTCTCTCGGAAGCCTTTTCCATTTTAATATCTGAAGCTGCCAGGCATAGTCCCCTATGTCCATTCAGAGACCTAAGGTGCTCCAGCGGGGAGGTGGCATTGGGATTGCAAATGCTCTTCTCTCTTTTATAGTTGGTAGGCCTAGGAGTGCGAGGTGGCTCCTGGGAAGAAGTGCACAGAACTGGTGCTTGAAGCTTGAGATGGACGGGATGCTAGCTGCTGACCACCTGTGCCCACATCATCTTCACTAGCTTCTTCTTTGTGGGCAGCAGTTTGGGCTGGACACTCAAAATGAACGCAGTGAAACACCTGAAAAACAATGAGAGAATGCAAACCAATAAACAGGAATAGTCGCAAGTAAATTGCACGTTAAAAGGAACATAAAGGAGGCCCATCTGAAGCAGAAACACCCAAGGTTTTCAAGATGAGGTCTATGCCGCAAACCCTCTCGGCCTCTGGAACCTCCTTCTTTTCAAGGGCAAACACTGGGAAAGGAGAAGATCAGCTGTGAAAAGTCATGTCTGACAGCAAGGAGTGAGCCAGTTATGATGATCACTTCCATCTCTAGTTATTACCAGGAATTATAGGTATATTTATTCATTTACAGCCCACCTTACTTGCTTAGACTAAAGGTGGATTACAAAATACATATAAAAAACAATCAGAAAATATAAGCCAACTGGTTAAAAGGCTTTACTTGTAAAATATTTGATATGAAGGACATGGGAATGAACTATACCTCCATTTCATGATATTAATCCCCAAGAGACTGACTTCAAGCCTTCCTGGACAGTCCTCTCCCTATGGCATATAAGCACAGAGTCAGGGGAGATCTCTCCTCCCCAACCCAGCTTTTCAAATGTGATAAGTGGGGCCAAAATGGAATCATGTGGCCCTGAGACCTGCTCCTGATCTCACGTCAAAGAGATAAGGCCTCAGTTTTGTAATGTGATAAAAGGAAGTACTTTTTCACACAAAGAGTGATTAACACATGGAATTCATTGCCACAGGAGGTGGCGGAGGCTACAAGCATGGACTGCTTCAAGAGGGAATTGGATAAACATATGGAGCAGAGGTCCATCGGTGGCTAATAGCCACAAGGTACAGATTGGAACTCTCAGTCTGGGGCAAAGTGAAGCTCTGTATTCTTGGTGCTTGGGGGGGGAGGGCTTCTAGTGTCCTGGCTCCACTGGTGGACCTCCTGATGGCAGCTGGTATTTTTGGCCACTGTGTGACAGAGTGCTGGACTGGATGGGCCATTGGCCTGATCCCACATTGGCTTCTCTTATGTTCTTGTGACTTATGATGCCATCCTAAGCAGAGTTACATTCTTTGAAGACAACTGACTCAGCATAAGGTTGCACTGTTAGTTACTGGATGGTGGTGGGAAATAACTGCTTTTGCTTAGTATTCATTTGCTTTTGAAAGGGTTTTTTATTTTACAAAACCTAAAATTGAAGTGAATGTAAATCACATGTAAAATACTAAAATGAATAATTCAAATGATACTGCTTTTGGAACGTTCTTCTATAAAAGAATACAAAACTATTGCTTCTCTGAGTTGATTGGGTAGCTGTTGCCAATTAACTTCCTTGAGTGACTCTGGCAATGAATAAATAATATCAGAGCAGTTTTTCAAGCAACCTCTTTTGTCCTGACCACTTTGTTTCCTCTGATTTGCTCCTCATTCCTTCAGATGTTGGAAATCTTTTCTCAAACCCTCTTTAGTATTGACTGAGACCTCTTATAATTTTAGTGGGCTTTTTCTTCTCTGCAGAAGCACGAAGGCTAGAAACAAGTTACTGGCATACTGCTGACTTGTACAAGACCATTAAAATATTCCCTCCTCGCTATCTCTCCTTTCTTGCAGCCTAGAATCCTATTAGCCTTTTAGAGTGTCATTGTACAGTGAGCAGACATGTTCATTGAGCTGTCCTCTGGCCTTGTATCTTCTTCCTGAGAGGTCTGAATTCACCATCTCAACAGTATGCATGAAGCCAGCACAGCTGTAGTCACTGGGTAATTTTTAAAAACACAATGTTGCAGTATGCTCTGTGGATATGCAAAACAACCTGCAGGTTGGAAAATAGAAGATGCTTCTAAATGGCCTTTGACAATTTACAGCTAGTCCCAGGAATATGCTCATATCATACCTACTGGAGAGCCAAGCTACATTTTCACACAGGAGATCTATGATCAGATCTTCAGCCATGTTCTTTAGTCAAAACAAGACCAGCTGTGGTGGGGATGGGATTTTCACTGGTGCTATGGCACTGGGGAAGGAAGATTAAAACAAGACAGGTTCCATACAAGTCTGTCTCTCCCCCCCGCCCCCTGGCCCAGCTCGGGACAATTCCCACTGGAGAAACGGAAAATTTATTTATTTGAAATATTTTTATGCCGCCTTTCTACCTAATCAGGGTCCCCAAGGTGAAACACATAAAGACATTGAAAGATTTCAACAAGTAAAGGAAAATTATAAAATAATTTAATAAAAACACAGCTCCCATAAGTATTCAGCAAGAGCCCCTGGAAGATCTGCCCTCCAAACAGACTCCAAGGTCCCCACTGCCAGCTTGCACTTGCCAAGATACTCAAGAGGGCCACAGGAGTGGCCAACCCCAAATGCAAACATGTGCCCTTTAAGAAGTAATCCTCGCCCAAAGGGGATTGGCCAGATCTATCTGAGCTAGCTTCAGTCTTTAAGAAGAAGAAGAGATTGCATTTACACCCCGCCCTTCACTCAGAGTCTCAGAGCGACTTATAAACTCCTTTCCCTCCCCCTCCCCACAACAGACACCCTGTGAGGTAGGTGGGGCTAAGAGAGCTCTGACAGAAACTGCTCTTTTTCAAGGACAGCTCTTGTCAGAACTACGGCTTGCCCATGGTCATCCAGCAGTTGTGAGCGGAGGAGTAGGGAATCAAACCCGGTTCTCCCAGATTAGAGTCCGTGCACTTAACCACTACACCAAACTTAAGAACTTAGCCTGGCTCTGGCAGCAGTTGTCAGATTCAGAGCTATCCAAGGTTCTGCAGCTTGTCCCCAGTCAAGCCTTACTGTGTCAAACATAAGGCCCGGGTGCCAGACCTGCCCCGTCCAGGGCTCTTATGCAGCCCACGAGCAACTAGTGCAAGGGAGGGAACAGGAGACTGTTTGGGGGTGGGGGGAGAGTGGGCAGAGCCACTCTTGATTGTGGCTTCAGCATGGCGGAACAACCTTGTATGCAGCAGTCAAGCAGCATGGGAGTGTCTGCCCAGTGTTACACCGCTGGCTTTCCAGTCTGCCCATATAGGTTTTTCTTTGCACACCCCCCCCCCCCAGCCCATGGGGCCCTGC